TTACGAAATGATTTGAGATTAATAAATTGCTTTTTACAAACATTGCACTGATGACAATTACGTTTCAACTGCTTTATAACACCTGAAACAAGAAATAAAAATTTTTAAATTCAGATATACTAACGCATTACAATTTAAAATAATTCAATCACGGATAACATATAATAAACAATGTGTAACATTTTCTGTTAAATATAAAATTATGAACCTGAAAGCTATATTTATGACTAGCTGCGTCTGCGACTTTACCCCTTGGGATTCAGTTTGTTACTATAATAGTAATATTTTATCAATTTGTAAATTAATTGTTGGGACTTTTCTACTGACCCTTTTAAGCTTTACAGCTTATTGACGTGAAACATCTCTCGTTTTCCCTTCGCACTGAGCTCGTATACCCATAGTGTAGTATGTATGAAATATGGAGACTATACTGTGTATGGCCTCCATAGAATGGTGAGTTGTCATTCATACATACATATCCTTCTATGCATATTTTCTGTATAATAGTTTCGATTTTTGATGTTTCACATCTCCCACGGGTCCCCAAGACGGCTCAATTTTTTATAGAAAGCAAACATATTTATATTATACATATATCCCTTATTGTTAAGGCAGCGTTCATAAAGAACGTATTCACGCGACCGTTTTTTTTTTACAGTTTTATTATTAATATACTACAACATACTTGTTTTTGTTAAAATTGATTCTTTATAGGATGTTATAAAGATAGTAATACTTTTCTTTAAGTGCTACCTTTCTAACTGTCTTGCAAATGCAAACAAGCTTGTTTAATAAAATACAATAGGGTGTAGAATAATAATTTCTGCTATACTTGTGCATTACTTACAGTCAAGTTTACATTTTTGCAACTTACAAATTTTGTTTAGTAAGAATTTTTTGAAACCATGCTTACATGGTATACTTAATTTACTATTATTTACAGTGATTAAAAAAAAATTGATATTTTTTGTCCAATAAAAGAATTGTGATTTTTTTACCTGGTTTTACTGAAATTTTGGCCAATAGTTTCTTTTTAGATAGTTTTCCTTTACTCAGTTTAGTTGATACCAAAAGCTGTCTCTGTGCTATAATTTTTTCATCTGTTGATGAAATAACGGCCGGTGTTTCCAAAAATGGAAAATCTTGTTTAAAGGAATCATCACTATCATTAGAAGAGTCATCCAACCCAAAATTATCCAAAAGTAGAGCAGAAGCATAAAAATCTGTGTTCTGTTGATTCTCACTTACTTGTTTAACTGGTTTATTACTAATCAAAGGTTTACCCAAATATTGTCGCAGACTACTATCAGATTGTTCACAAAGTTGTTTGAAGGAATAAGCACGACTAACTTGATGTACACACTGAACACATATTACAGGCGGGAGACCATCTTCGGAAGTAATCTGCAAAAATTATTTAAATTAAGTTTTTAAGTACATATAGGTAAATCAAAACATAAAACAACAAATTTTTAAAGTGTAAATATTATATTGATGGTGCTATTCGTTTTAGAATTACTACCTTTCAATTTCGAATTAATTCCCATTTATCCAAATTACAAAAATTGTTAATTTCCAACTTGGTTTTGAATGTAAAAGAAAAACCGATAAAAGTAAACAATAAATATAACCTGTATATTTGTAAAGCCCATTATCATTTCTGCTAATCTAGTTTGACCGATTGAATCATCGGTTTGAAAAACAGATCGCATTTCTCCTTTTGCTGTTAGACACGTGCGACATATTTTGCTCACATCGAATTGAGTTTGTACTTGTCCATTATCCTGCTGTTTTACATCCATGTCAATCAAATACGATTCTCACAAAAACCCAATACCGTTTTTAAAAACACAAAAACTACTCGAATGGCGAACTGTTGCACTGGTCGATTGTGACCACCACTCATTACCACTTGTACAGTTACGCAAAGAATTTGTCTGTGTGATCAGATTTTGTGGTTCCTATGTTCATGAATATAAGGATGCAAACCGTGCCATAACCGTACAAACAGTAGCACAAATGTATTGACTGTACACAAAACGTGACGCGTAGTCATAGAGTCTATTATGTCGTTCAAAATCAACTGAAATAATTCGATTCAAATTCAAACGACTGATTTTGTTATAATCTGACTAACGTATCTACAGCATTTTTCAAAATGATTTTTAAAACCATATTTGCACTGTACACTGAGATAAAAACGATTTAAATTGTTTAGTTTTGTAATATTTTGTTAGACATTTTTTCACTATTTTCAATTTTGAATGGGTAAACTGTTAATCAATGTAGTGTGATTTTACAAATCCTTAATTTTTGACGAAAATCTGACTAGAAAATTTTAGCCCACAGAGTACATTATACGCGAAATTCAAACAATTTGTTTTTAATTGTAGGTTTATGAATGTTAATTAAGTTAATTAACGGACTTATAATTTTCGAGTAATAGCTAATTGAAATTGAATTAAAATTTTAAAGGCTTATTATACAAGGCAAAGTTTTAAAATTTTAATTCAATTTCAATTAGCTATTACTCAAAAACTATAAGTCCGTCAGAATCCAGTTTGTAGCCACATAATAAATATATTTACAGCTATTATCTCCAGCAAAATAAAAGCTAAAATTTCAAAATTTGAAAACTGAATTTTAGAAAAGTTATTTTTTTAGTTCTTTGTATTTTTCTTGTCCAAAGAAGTTCGAATCAAATTTATTTGCGGTTCATATTTTCTATTGAGATCCTTTCTAAATCCAATGAGTAAGCAGTTGGTGGTTAAAAATGATTAACTTTAAAAACCATTCTTGTCTGCTTTGGTTATGAACGGCATTTTATTGGGAATAAATGGACAAGTACTAAACTCATACGACTCAAAAGTGTGAGTATCCTAATTAATATAATTTATTTTTTACATATTTACAGATATTAAGGATTAAGGTGGTATACCCTTCATTCACTTCATTTCATGAATTACGGCGTGTTTATATACTGGAATAGCGCTGTTCCTAGAAAATAAAAAGGAAACATTTCTTTATTGTTAAAACTTATGGTAGGATTTTTTTCTTACAGAATTTTTTCAATTCAATCAATTTTTAACATTCTTTTAGATATTGTGCCATGGGTTGCGACATGCTGACTTGAAAAATTGCCTCTACAATTTTATTTAGTTATTTTTAATAATTGCTTAACTTTTCTTGACGACTTCCTTATGCAACGTTGGGTTGTGTACATGCCTGAAATGAAAGATTTATTTTATTTTTTATTTGAGCTTGCAATGTTGCTTATGAAAAGAATCTGTTTGAAAATACACATTTATTTTTAGTGACCTTTACTTATTAAGACAAAGCAGAAACCAAATTAATGTTTTACTGATATTGTTCTACCACTGAACCACCGATACGTCTGGCAGTTCCCGATGCCTCGCTACACGAGTCTCCACAATGAACTTTTCGATATTTTTTAATATTTCGTGCAAATAAACGCATGAGCCTTTCATACTCACGGGCATATACTACATAACGATACTGACGAAAAAGTATAATAAATGGCGAAGGCTTTTAAAATGTACGAATTTAAAAATATCGTCAAATTCATAATTTTCAATTTTCAGTAACATCGAATGATAAAAGATGACGGTATTTTGCATTATTTTATTTTTCCGTTCTTTTAACATTTTTATGCGAACTTCAGTGTCTATTATAGCATACCTTCATGTGAGTATTTAGACTAAAAGATTGCGAAAAGGCTTTCCCACATGTAACACAAACGTATGGTCGCTCTCCTGTATGGACTCTCATATGTCTCAAAAGAGTATTATTCACGGTGAAGCCTCGACTGCATACACTACAAACATAAGGTCTCTCTCCTGTATGGATTCGCATATGATACTTTAATTTCACTTCTGTGGTGAATCTAAAAAAAGAAATATCTACTTAAAATGTGTACTACTTACTACAGTAAAGTTAACTTAAAAATAATCAGTTTACCGTTTATGACAAACTGAACACTCTATTGGTTTTTCAGTTCCATGCAGTCTTTTGTGGCTGGTCAAGTCCCCCGACTGTCTAAAAGCTTTTCCGCAGAAGTCACAAACAAAGGGACGCTCATCTGTATGAGTTCTTAAATGAATTTTCAAACTATTTTTTGAAACGTAACCGTTTTGACATATTTCACAAATGAATGGCTTTTCACCTGAAATGAAATTTATGCTGGTAAAGCCTTTTCATGCAGTGGAGTTTATAATAGCCTTCATGAAGCCGCTCTGAATATTGTAATGCTGCTAACATAACCTAAGGAGGTTTAATAAACTCTAAAAACATAAAACGCTAGGTACTCTCGCTCGTTTGACTGCGGATAGGATAACAAAAAACTATACACCGCGCCACGATTAGGTTCACTTCGAGAGTATTGTCATTCCTAAGGAACCTTATGAACTTAAGCATATGTTATAAAATAAATTAATAAAAATTAGCCTCACACATGGATACTAGAAAGAAGACAACCGACACTTTTGGTCTGGGTCAGTATTCACTTCACAATTTGATATAAAACGCTTAGTTCATTCTCTACGTCCATACACGAGATTGTAGCATTACCCGGCATAGTTCATTAAAGAAAAAGGTTGGCAGTATTGTGAAAGTTTAATATATTGTGGAGTCAACTTCAACTACCTGTAGCATTTCATAGAATTTGACAAGACCTTACTACTAATCTACTTAACAAACTGAATCCTAATACTACGTTGCAGTATACATTTGTATTAGTAAGTAGATGCCTTCATAAGGTAAGGTTTCTAGCAGAGAAACATTGTTACTGTTGCCGAAAATGTTTTACAAAGTTCCTAATAAAGGCTTGTTCTTCAATACATTCTACTTGTCGTCGGTTTCCATTGTGAGCGATAAAATTCTAAGGCAAAGTACCTACTTGTATGTTCCTTTTCACTATAGTTACTGATGACATCTATCAGGTGGAGAGGATTTTAAAAATATGAAAAAATTCCTCTGGAAATTAAATCATGCCAATTTGGTTGCCACTGGTTCTGGTAAATTTGAGTAATGCCAAACTGAGTGTTCTGAATTATGTAAGGTTTCGTTTACAACTTGTCTTATCGCTAAATACGGCGAGAGATTGTTGGTCATTTGTTCAAGATTAATAAAGCACTAAGAAAAGCATAAATGTAAATAGTTTCTTGATCTGTTATATTCTCTTTGCAAAATATAAATTCCTCTCGAAAGATTTTAACATTTTACTCTCAAATGGGTCTAAGTAGTTTCTTTTCAAAAAAATTGTAAAAAATTCTGAAGTTCAATACCATGAAAAGGAAAATTAGAAATAAAGGATGTAGATGGGGTGGAAACACCATCTACACCATTTATTTCTATTTAAGCATTATAAGCAGTAAGAAAAGAAGTACATGAAAGCAAAAGTGATGATTGATATATTTTGCTGATCATAATTAAAAGTATTTTACTTGACACTTTTACCTGTATGTGTTCGTAAATGTAGATCCAAATTGAAACGCTGGGGAAAATTTTTTCCGCAAATAGTACAGAGAAATGGCCGATCTCCAGTGTGTTGTTTAATATGAGCATCTAAAGTTGTTGCATCAGCAAACTCACTTCTACAATAGTCACAAATATGTTTGAGTAAAGCAGGATCACCTTCTTTTTTTTCGTGTATTTTCATATGTTTCAATAGACTATTCTCAGCATAACATCCCTTGTTACAAATGTTACAGACAAACGGCTTCTCTCCAGTATGTCTAAGCATATGCTTGTTTAGAAGAGTAGCATGAATGAATCTTTTTTTGCATATTTCACATTCATGTGGTTTTTGTTCATCGGGCATATGTATTCTCATATGATTGTTTAAATAATATTCTTCTGTAAAACTCCGGGGGCAAAGTTTGCAATTATAAGGCCTATCTTCCATGTGTGTTCGCAGATGTTTACGAAATGATTTGAGATTAATAAATTGCTTTTTACAAACATTGCATTGATGACAGCTACGTTTCAATTGTTTTATAACACCTGAAAGATTTCTTACATTAAGATTTAACAAAGGATAGTAAAGATACACATGTAGAACATGTATATAATCGATTAAGTGAAATATTTATTATTAATTACAAAATTACGATTAATGTAGTATGCCTACAGTTCAAAATACAAAATAATGTTTCAAAAAATATAAACTTAAGTACATAATGGCAATTACATTTAGTAATTCGTTAAATCATGCCTATATACAGAATTTACTGTGAATAAAGTAGTTTTTAAAAACTGAATACAGAAATATTTTATTTTCTCCAACAAATGCATTTTGTTACCTGGTTTCAATGAAAGTTTCGCAAATAGTCTCTTCTTAGATAATTTTCCATTACTCGATTTAGTTGATACCAAAAGTCGCTTTTGTGCTATAATTTTTTCATCTGTTGATGAAATAACAGCTTCTGTTTCCACAATTGGAAAATCATGTTTTAAGGAATAGTGGCTATCATTTAAAGAGTTATCCAACTCAAACTTATCAAGTAGTTGAGTAGAAGAATAAAAATCTGTGTTCTGTGATTTGTCACTTTGTTTAATTGTTTTATTACTTATCAAAGGTTTACCCAAATATTGACGCAGACTACTATCAGATTGTTCACAAAGTTGTTTAAAGGAGTAAGCACAATTAACTTGGTGTGCACATTGAACACATACTGTAGGTGGCAGACCATCTTCAGGTGAAATCTATTTAAAAATTTATTAGATTTAGTTTTAAAAACCGCATAATAGTAATAAATATTTTAAAAGTGGAAATATTATATTGACAGCGTTGCTAACTTCAGAGTTTGTGCCTTTTAAGTTAATTAAATTTCGAAGTTTACATGTAGGCACATAGTAAGTATCTTTTATAATTAAAAATTCAATAATTCAAAAGTGGTAACAGAGGTACACTCTTTTAATAACAATGTCTATCCTGATTAAAAAATTATTAATTTCATTACCTATATACCATTTTAAGAAAAGGGCCGATAAAAGTAAACAATAAATATAACCTGTATATTTGTAAAGCTCATTATCATTTCTCCTAATCTGGTTTGACTGACTGAATCATCAACTTGAAAAACTGATTGCATTTCTCCTTTTGTTGTTAGACACGTACGACATATTTTGCTGACGTCGAATTGATTTTGTATTGGTTGATTATCTTGCTGTTTTACATCCATGTCAATCAAATATGATTCTCACGAAAATCTAAGACAACTGCTCAACTACCGAACCGTTCATTCTTATCTAATTTTGCACTGCAAACTGGAATCTACAACATAACTACATAACTGTACATAACCTAGTCTAGGTACATAACCTGCAATACACATTGCCTGCAACCATAGACATATATTAATAGACGTGCCTTAGCCGCATAGACATATATTAATGGACGTGCCTTAGCCGTATGTCGTTGTAATAATTTCTTGGCTCGAAAAGTGAGGGAGATGACGTATGGTTTCGGACTAGTGCTATCTCTTTCATGGCACGCTTACGCACTATCGTGAGAAAGATGGACATTGTCCGAAACTTCGTTCCATCTCTTTCTTTTGTTGTACCACAATTCTGACCGCTAAGGCATGTCCATTAGTAAACGTCGATGTTAACATCGTTCCATCTCTTTCTTTTGTTGTACCACAATTCTGACCGCTAAGGCATGTCCATTAGTAAATGTCGATGCCTGCAACCACAGATAATACCTGCAACTACAGCAGGGTTGGTTATTAAACATGTTATTGACCATCGACGTTTACTAATGGACATGCCTTAGCGGTCAGAATTGTGGTACAACAAAAGAAAGAGATGGAACGATGTTAACATCGACGTTTACTAATGGACATGCCTTAGCGGTCAGAATTGTGGTACAACAAAAGAAAGAGATGGAACGAAGTTTCGGACAATATCCATCTCTCTTACGATAGTGCGTACGCGTGTCATAAAAGAGATAGCACTAGTCCGAAACCATACGCCATCTCTCTCACTTTTCCAGCCAAAAAATTATTATGACATACGGCTAAGGCACGTCCATTAATATATGTCTATGTTATTGACAATCATCCTATGGTATAAGCCGTAAAATTGGGGTACGTTCACGATGATAGAGAAAAAGCAGTAGATCGGTTTACCTGAACAGTACGTTTTTTACTTAGATCATATAAATTTTAACTTATTTTAATGAGAGAGCAATAAAAGGTATTAAGCAGTTTTATTTGTTTTTATAAAACAAACAAAATGTACTGGAAAACATTAATATAATCTAAAACATAAGCTACAATCTATTCTATACCTTTAAACTTATTTCTGAGCGAAGCTTTCGTAAATATTCACGACGGTCACGTTCTGAGAAATACTTAATTGAGCAGCATAATTTTTTTTTGCAAAATTGATCTGATAGGCCAGGGCCAGAACTACCTTTTACAGTTTAGTTTACACAACGATTTTTGTTTATCACGTAATTTTTGATTTGACGAGTACCTTTTGTTAAACTAGGATATCGACATACAATCACAATTACTATTATTATTACACCATACCCAGCCTAACGAATTGCTGATGGTCTAAAATGCAGGATAAGCATTTTCAGCGTACCTACGTAGGGAATTCCCGGCGGTTTATTACCAAAATCAGATGACAATAAAAAGTAGACTGAGCTTTTTCAGTGGGGAGAGATGGTACAATTGGAGTTGCTCGCATTTTTTTCCACAAGTTGTAATTAAGTAAATTTAACAGGAGATTTTAACGTGAAAACAGTAGAATAGTAGGTTGAAACAGGTCTATTGTTTGACAACACTACATTATTGATGTCATTATTCCCGACCGCATCAACTTCACAGGGACCTGCGGTTCTAGGTTGTAGTCATGAAAGTCACGTAGTACATGGGTAGTACTTGGTACCTAGTAGTATAAGTCCGTTCCACTAAAAGTTCACGCTTATGATCGCGGTTTTTCCTATTTCACTAGCATGTCAGCGTTTTGTTTGGCGTTTCAAGTGGAATGGGTTTAATGTTACGTTAATATTGTTTTTTATTATTTTAAGTATTATTACTATTATTCTTATCGAGTTTAGGCTTATTTACACCTTAAAAGCGCGGATGATTCCTTGGCTTTCTGCTTTTATATATTATAATATCATTCTGTAGTGAATTTGTCACTCCTTTGAGGATTGGTTGGAGACATTTAAAGTAGTTAATCAAATTTCTACGGGCATCAAAACCTACACTCGAATGCTTAAATGAGTCTCGGAACCCAGAGCAAAACCACCTTGGTTCGGGACGATAGTCTGCTGAGGGTTTGGTGGCAGTCTTCTAACAGCTTTGACTTTGTTGAGTGTCCACTAAAGCAGTATTTTCCAAAATTTCAACATATACGTATATACTATTATAATTTTCGTAACATTCAGTATAAATTATCAAATCATGCATTAAAAAGTAATGAAGTTTTCTCTTATTTTTCTATATTCGTAATCAAAAACAGTAAGCCAAAGCTCGGGCAGCACTTCCCCCCACCAAACTTTTCCTTTACCCTAGGACGTACACATAACACACTTGGGGAAACATTGTTCTAGGGACTTTATGGATTTCTAAAGCACTACTGTAATTAGTACATATGTACTTACACTCTATAATGTTATGGCATTAGCATTTCCTAGGCACAATGAGTAATAATCATTACTTCTGTCTCAATAGCAAACTAACCCAAAGGTAGGGAATACCTAATCCCACTTTGATGGTTGTAACTGCTTCTCCCCGTGTTTCTGAACCCACCAGTATCAAAGTCACTGTCAGACCTTATGGAGATTTTACCCGAGGAGACTGATGTCGCATTTTTGTCGAAAAGGAAGAGGGTCCTCGTGCGATCGGAGGCATCTCAAGTTTGCCTCTTATAATCACGCACTTAGGGAAATCAAAGAGTCTTACATTACCACCTCACAGTCGATGCATTTGATCCATTAAAGGGTCTTTGTTGTGGCTTGTTCTAAGGGCTACTTTGAAGAGTTCAATGTCAAGAAGCATATCTAGCGCCCCTATAGGATAAACATCACAGCCTCAGTAATTCTCAGCACCAATCCCCTCAATTTTTTCAGTTGCCTATTAGAGGTGGAAAAGGCAACAATGTTTCACAAAACTGACGCAGGATAAGTCAGCCTAGCCTTTCTAGTTTATCAAAGGCAGACTGAGAGCCTTTTTCTCAGAAAGTCCAGATGGTCCTTTTAGGACAATTTACTGTCCAAAATTATTTAGAAGTACTTCACTGTGTTCCTGCCCACCAATTCGAAGAATCAGGTTTTGTCATTAGTATTTTCTTATGAACAAGGTGACTTCTGCATTCCTCGGGTTGATAGAAAGTCCAGATTCAAGACACCAGCATTCTACAAGGGCGATTACCCTTTGGCTCAAGGAAGAGACCCCAAACGAGAACAAGGATATTACTTTCAGATAGTTCCCATAGGAGTTCATCAACCACTAAGCACCAGATGAGGGGAGATAAGATACCTCTTTGATCCTTCCTGTGTTCATTATTCTCCAAATAGATCATTTTTCTTTAGTGATCTCAATAAGTCGATTGGTCAACATATAGTCCATCCACTCAATAATTAAGAAGGTTATGCCATAGCTGTTTAGGGCAGTTTTAATTACCTTCCTTTGAAATGTGGCTGAAGGCACCTTCAATATTCATGAGCACAGATCAGGTTCACTGCACGAAACAGGACCGTGTCTTAATTAATGTAATTTTTTATTTCTATATATTTACAGATAAAATATACAGCCTTAAGCCACTGTATGAATAGCGGATGCCATATATATTTACACATATATGTGCTCTGTGCTGGAAAAACTTCAGCAAAAATAATACATACTAAAGTGATTCGACTTCTTGGATTTGAACTGTGTGGATTGTATCACCAGCGCTGTTCCTAAAAAAACAAAAATTTTGTTCTTTATTGTTAAAAATTATTGTCGATTTTTTTTCATACAGAATTTCGCCAACAGATACAGCTTCAATTTTTAACATTCTTTTTGATATTGTGCCGTGCGTTGCGACATGCTGATGTAAAGAACTAGTCTGTGAAAAGTTCTTTCCACAAATCTTACACACATACGGTTTCTCACCAGAATGCCCTCTTAGATGAACTTTTAAGCTACTTGAACCGGCAAATCTAAAACGTAAATTTGAAGAAAGCATTTAAAACAGAAAACAATTATAGATATTTTACATAATAAATAGATCTACCTTAAACTAATACCATATTAACTATTTTGGATTCAAACCTTGGTAGATTTCTGTGTAATAATGAAGTATTAGAGGAAATCAACAGAGCCACCTTGTATGTTTGCAGTACAAATGATTATCATTTTCTTTTTGTATATTTATAGCCATTATAGTTTTATAGATAATAAATACGGATTTTTAAAAACGTTACTGTGTTTGTGCTATGATTTTGCACTCAAAATAATTACTGGAATTAATTATTTCTTTTTAATTATCATAATGCACAGCCTATTAGCATTTTATAGAAATTACAAACAAGTAGTTTCAAAAGGAGAGGACCACGCATGGTACCTTCTTGCGGAGTTCCTTTGAGATTACATTTTTTATCTAACAAATGAATTAATAAATAATATATAAAACTAAATGAAGTGTTTACAACTTATCTAATGTAATACATTTTGGAGCAATAACAATGGTGTGATAAGATAAGGTGAGGCAAGTACTGTAAATCGTACCTCTCATATATTTTTGTACTCTATTATAGTAAAATTCTTAAATAAATATTTGGTAACTTGCTAGTCTTTATAGCAGTAAAATATCTTATTAATGATACAAAAACAGAAACACTTTCTTATGTATACAAAGAATTATTACAACTTTAATGCGACAGAATAAAAATAATTCTTATACCAAAGTGTCTTCAATAAAAAAATATTTTTTTTTTACTTTACCATTAATTAAATTTTACTCACCTTTTACCACAAATGTGACATCCGTGAGGCTTTTCTCCTGTATGAGTCCGAAGATGCCCAGAGAGGTGCCCACTCGAAGTAAATCCTTTATTACACACGCCACATACGTGAGGTTTATCTCCCGTATGCGATCTGGTATGTATGATAAGAGTTTCATGACGACTGAACGCTTTTCCACAAAGATTACACGCGTAAGGCTTCTCCCCTGTATGTATTCGCTGATGAATAGCCAATGTGTTAGAACCGGCGAATGCTTTACCGCATGTGGTACACACATAAGGTCGCTCGCCTGTATGCGTGCGCATATGAACACCTACGTAACCCGACTGACTGAAACTAAAAGGAAAAGTCTATTAAAAATAATCTAGTAGTTGTAAGCTTAAGGATTTCTTCGAGAACTAATTGAAGGATATGTGAAAAGAAAATAATACACATTAATAATAATAATCGTACGACACATACGAGCGAATCTTGCAAATATACTCCTAAAATTAGTTACCCTGAATTAAATCAAAATTCCAAAAAATTTTTCTAAGATTTTATACATTTTACTGAAATTTTATTTTAGTTTTTATATATTTAAAAAATGAAGTAATTTCCATCTAATAGAAAGAAAAAAAACTAAACATTTTTATGTATTTTCATTATTACATGCATTATTTGTGAACCATTTTAGTAATATTTAAAAGTTTAAGTAATATCGTTTCAACCACAGACTATTTATCAAAGAGAACACAAATTTTCTGGATTGGGATTCTGAATGAATAATGATTTAAAAATTTTTACTGTTTAATTTCTTCGTGTGTTTGCAGGTATTTACTAAACACATATTTTTACTTCTTACCCTTTTCCACAAATAGGACATAAGAATGGTTTTTCCCCTGTATGAACTCTAACATGTTTTTCTAAATTGCAAAGCTGTGTAAAACTCTTTTGACATACTTCACAGACATATGGCCTTTCTCCTGTATGTGACCTAATATGGATTCTTAAGCTTCTTGCCTGAGAAAAGAATATATTATTGAGATGCAGACTGTGTATCGTCATCTAGTAGTTATTACATCAACTCGCTTCTTAGGAATTTCTTTGGTTTGAGTCAAATACTATCGAAATCGTGACCACGTTTGATAGTTTCGATAGATTTTTGGCTAACGAACTTTAACATTCTTATTACAATTTGATTTATTTATGTAATTTACTAGTAAATAAACAATAATTCACCAACTGCAATTTCACATTATTATGTGAAAGCATAAAGATTTTGTTGTATCACAAAAATAAAAATAAATTGTTTAAATACCACCTTATATTCTAATCTTAGCTTCATTCACTTAAAACCTTAACTTTGGCTGTTTATTGTACTTACTTCAACATACTGTTTTCCACAAAATTTGCAAGTAAGTAATTTGTGGCCAGTATGATATTTCATATGTTTTGATAAACTGGATGCCCATTTAAATGATCTTCCACATACAGAACATAAATGAGGTTTTCCTTTAATATTACGCAGCTCTCCTGTATGCTTCTTCTTGTGTTTACTAAGATTAGAACTTTCTGCAAATGACATATCACACTGGTCACACTGATGAGGTTTCTTTTCAAGATGTATTTTTAAATGTCTTTTTAGAATTCGGGCTTCTGAAAATCCTTTTTGACATACATGACACACATGATCCAAATCTTTAGGATGGGACATCATGTGCACCTAAATATAAAATTAACAATTTTTTTTTGGCATTAAACTACTGATTTTATTTATCTATTTAAATTTAATTACCTTTAGATCTACTTTTAATAAAAAAGATGCATCACATTTTGTACATGCATGTTTTAATTTCTGTGCATTTTGTTTCTGCTCAATTAACAGTGGGTCATCTAAATTATCTTCCCCGTTGTGATCTTCATCAGGAAAATCAGATCTAAGCTGAAATCCAAATGTTATTTACTTTGAAACGACAGTTGTAGACAATACCTCCAAAGTGCAACCATCTTCACTATAATCTACCAATTCAGTTGACAAATGGTCCATTGCATTAACATTATCTGAAAAATTAAGTTGTTCACGAAGCTCTTCTTTTACTTGCTGTTCTGCTATAGATTTAGCAAGTTGGTCCTACAAAATTATAAATATATTCTTGTGTTATTTGGTTATTTAAAACATTCATTACCTGAAATTCAGGACTCATATATTGTCTCAAAATACTGTCCGATTTTTCACACTGCTGTTTAAATGTGTATGCCCTACTACATTGCAAGACACATTGTACGCACATCAAATTTGGTAAACCATCACCTTCTTGAACCTTTAATTTGAAAAAACAGAATTAGGTACTCCTGATGAATTATAAATAATAATAAACTTTGATACCTGTACTGAAGCAAATGAAACAAGCATTTCGTCCAAACAAGCTCCAAAAAGAGGCCTCATGTCGCCTTTTTCTGATAAACACGCTCGACAAATTCTATCAATTTGTAAAGGAGCTGTTAAATATACACTCATATCCATTTTTACTAATCGAGAATACACAAATGTTTGAGTTTTGATTTGAAACGTACGTCTTATTACACAACTGACATATGTTATTTAAATTCACAATTAATAATGGCGGATGAATCACACCAAGACATGACCAACAAGCCGGAAGTGGTTCAAAACAAATTATAAAAGGCTTCGGGTCAAAATTATTATATCTAGAAAAAACGAATAAATATTTTTAAAAATTAATTATATCGACAAGTAGAATTTCTATATATTTATACATCAGCAAAAGTATAATCTAGATAAATTAAATTAGATTATTTTTAAATAATTCATGCAAGAATAATAAAGTAAACTCTATTCTAGCGCACAAAACATTCGATAATAAGAAAAAATAAGATAATAATGAAATAAAAATTTAAAGCTATTGAGATGTAAACGTCTTTTAGTTAATTGAGTGGTTATTGTTCCTACTGGTTCCTACACTAGTCTTCTGGGTCCACATTTCGTGCATCTGCCATTGATTTAAGGCTCCTGAAATTCTGAACTATCTATATTCATCTATGTACATATACCTACTATAGACACCTGCAGTTTGCTTGCAATATTAATTGTGATATTTAATGTAGTACGAAATTGTTGGCAAAAAATACAATTTCTCTAGCCAATGAGCAAATTACTGGTCCATTTAAAAATATAAAACGTCTTACGTATACACAAAGTATTACAAACATCCTTTATGCCTTTTTTGGCAATCTTCACTAAAGTGATAGAAAGTTATAAACATATTACAGATGAACTGACAATGGGTTTACCGATTTGTCGTCTTCGATTGTCTATGTAGACCATTGACTCTGCTGACAGTATATGTTTATCTATAGTGTATGTGCTGACACCGCTGCGTTATACACGATACATCACAACTGACATCAGTGACATGAAGAAGATCAAGAAGATTTTAAGAAGTAAATTGAGGTTATATGTTCCAGGTGCGAAGGAATCGACACAGCTGTGGTGTAAAGTGTAATAAATAATAAAAGACTAGTTAAAAGATATGGGTGGCCAGAAATTTCAATATGATGAAAGTGGAGGCACATTTTTCTACTTTTTACTTTCATTTTTGGTATTAATACTTATTCCAGCAACGTTTTATTATTGGCCCAGGAAACCAAAGAAAGGTTATACACACAATCATTTAAAATTACAGTTATTTTTTATGGCTTGAGATTTGGGTTATTTTTTCAGTTGATACAATTTTTGTAATATCCAAAAGTTTTTCAAGGATTATTTTATTGCAGATCCTAAGGAAGAGGATAAAGAATGCCATTGTCCAGGGTGTTTAAAGAAAAAGGAACTTCTAAAAGCTGCAGAGCCATGGAGAGGTCCAAAGAATTTTTTAATAAAACTAACAATTATTTCCGGGTGGGTCCTTTTGGCATTATTGACTTACAAAGTTTCACAGTTTGATTATGAAATGGCCAATTTTGATCCATATGAAATTTTGCGAATTCCATTGGGAGCTAGTCAGTCAGAGATAAAGAAAGCATATAGAAAATTGTCAGTAATTCTTCATCCAGATAAGGAAACTGGAGATGAAAAAGAATTTATGAAGCTTACTAAAGCATACCAGGTATGCATTTTTTTGTTTTCAAAAGAAACATGAGTACAATTTGCCAATTTTTTGTATAAGTGATAAATTTCAAATTTCTGTTTTTTTTTTGTAAGGCCTTAACAGATGAGGAAGCTCGAAAAAATTGGGAGAAATATGGAAATCCAGATGGCCCAGGTGCAATGAGTTTTGGCATTGCTTTGCCATCATGGATAGTTGAAAAAGAGAACAGTGTTTGGGTTCTTGGCTTGTATGCATTAGTTTTTATGGTAGCACTTCCTATAGTTGTATGTACATAATGTGATTACTAAACAGTTCAAATCTGAAATTAACAAGTTTCTATTTCAGGTGGGTACATGGTGGTATCGCAGTATTAGATTTACAGGTGATCAAGTACTACTTGATACTACACAAATGTATTACTATTTCTTCCATAAAACACCCAACATGATGTTAAAAAGGGTAATTATGATACTTTCTGCCAGTTTAGAGTTTGATCGAAAGCATAATTCTGAAATTATTGAAAGACAATCAGATAATGAGGAAGTTCCACAGGTATTCAAACTACACTAATTATTCTGTTACATACATATTTAAACTGTTTGATTATAGTTAATTAAAAAATTGCCTAATTTGAGCGAAAAAAATAAAGAGAGGCCTTTATGCTTTGGGTACAGTATAAAAGCAAGAGCTATCATACATGCACATTTATCCAGGATGCCACTAAATCCCACAACATTAGAAATTGATAGGCAATGTATTATTGCCAAATGTCCCTATCTTATACAAGAGCAGGTCAATAGTGTTAACCAACTTATCATGTTAGCTTATGCTAGAAGAAGTAAGTTTTATTTAATTTAGAAGTGTGTTGCTTTCTTTAATATATAGGTTTTTCAAATTACTAAAAATACTTAAGTTTTAGTTATGTTTTGGTTATATAATAGTTTTTGAAGTACCATTTTTACTAATTATAAAATTGTATATTTCTTGTATAGTGAGATTGTATCATTACTTTGTGATTTAGTTCAAAGATTACCAACAATAGAGACAATAGAGAATTGCATGAAATTATGCCCAATGATTGTTCAAGCTCTGTGGGAGCATAAATCCCCATTTTTGCAACTACCATACATTTCTGATGACAATCTGAAACATTTTATGTCTAAAAAGGTAAGTTTTTGAAAATCAAAAGGACATTTTAAATAAAATAAAGAAACGATGATTTTTTTCAGAGACAAATAAAGTCTCTACAACAGTTTGCTCAACTCAAAGGTGAAGAAAGGCGAAATGTTTTAAGAAATTTGAGTGATGAAGAGTATGAAAACATTATGAAAGTTTTGGGTAGAATGCCTTATGTTGATTTTCAAGTTAAATGCGAAGGTAACTTATTGAAATATTGCGTTTAAGTTTTCTGTATAAACTCAAATAAGTTTAGCTTAAAGTTGGCAATTTGTAGTAATGGATGATGAAAACCCCACAGAAGTTACTGCAGGTGCAATAGTTACAGTGACTGTTTCATTTATTCGAAAAGACATGAGTACTCTTTTTGGGGACGACACGGTACAGGAGGCACAGGCTATTAAAGAAAACGGCATTGCTACGGAAGCAAAGGAAACCGGAGACAACGAACCCGATCATATAGTAAAGAGACCAGCATGGCTTAAACAGAAAAAAGGTATAACATGGTACTTTTTAATACAGTATTTATTAATTTGCCTATTGACTGATTATTTGAATCTCATATAATAAAACGGCGTTTGAAATAAAGTCATACATGGTAATCTGGGTATAAGCAATTCGACAAATTACATTTTGTCATTGTTAAATCCAGATTACTACATATAAGCTTATTTACATATTGATTCTTACATTGGGTAAGGCTGATATAAGAAATTAGTGTTTTGAAAAATGTCATTTCTATCACAAAATATAATGCAAAAACTGTTGGGCAGATTTTTAGAATTTTTTATGTCATTAAATTGTTGAGATTGCGTTCACGTAATCGACATAGTCTGTACGAACTAATTTAAAAAGTAGTGGCATTAGCATGTTGAAAAACTTATGTCATGTCCAGCCTCGAATAATAGTATGGTTTTAAGTAATTTTTCAGGCGATTTTATGTAATGAAACGAAAGGGCATTTTATCAATAAACCTAATATACACTATTCAGTTTTTCAAATCTTTCAAGTCAAAATTCGGAAAATAACGTTCTAATTAAACATACAGATGTACATATATAGAACTTTTGATAACAATTTATTTGTAGCTGAACAGCCTGTATTGATTCATTTAATGTGAATCGCTTGAAAATGATACTCGTGGTATCGAAACTATAGTTACTTTTAATAACAGTCTAATAAAGTGGTAAAACTATTTGTAACTGTTAAGTAATTGCGTATTTTGGAATTTGATGTTGAATTTACTTTAAAACGAAAGTACTCATTATTTTATTACAGGAGGTGGCAAAAAAGGGAAAAAAACGAAACCAACTAAAATGGCAAATAGTATCAAAGTAAAACCAAGTAGTTCTCCGGTTGTCGCAAAGACGAAACCAAAAGAAGAAAAGAAAGAGAGTGTCAAAGAAAAAGAAGAAAGCGATTCCGAAAGTGATGGGGAATCACACGACGATGACAGATCCACTGATGAAGATTTAAAATCAAGTAGTGTAGATGATGATGATCAAGTACTAAATTTAAGTTTTAAAATTAACACCTATAATTACTGTATGATTAATTTTAGGAGTGGGAACGGTTTCAACAAAAACTTCATAGAAGAGAAAAGGCTTTGGAAGGCCGTTCAAAAGTGTCTCATTCTGTTCACTGTCCCTATTTTCCGCAAGAAAAACAGGAATATTGGTGGACATATATCTGTGATCGAAAGTCTCATTCTTTGTTAACAGCTCCCTATCATGTTACTAATCTTGTAGATAGGGAAGACTGTCAGTTAAAGGTAAGCATTAATGTCAAAATGCTTCATTTTTTGTAAGGATTTTGCTTAATTAATTATTCAATATAAGGGCTTGTTTGCCTTTGCACATAAGTGGTATGTGATAACTTTTGTAACCCTGTATGGGTTCACAATTAATTGTTTCAGTGGATTTACATAAAATTAAGTGTAAATATAAATTTTACATGCTGGCCTCATTAACTCTCAAACTTTTATAATTACAGAATGAAAGATTAAATTATTAAGATGAAAAATCTGTGTTTATGCACAATTGCCTACGTTTCGTCTAACCGTTTATGGGCTCTTCAAGAAATGATCAAAATATATTATACATTTCAAAGGTAAAAAATACATAGCCACATCAAACAAAAACAAAGATAATGTTACAGAAAATTTCTCCAATTAGATGAAACGTAGACAATTGTGTAATAAAACGATTTTTTCCATCTGAATAGTTTCAATTTTTCATTCTGCTATAACATCAGAGAGAAATGGAAATTACTTTTACAGTTACAGTTTCAAAAAAATAACACAAGATTTATTGCACTACAAAGAGCAGACCCATTTTTTGGTTTGCACAAAATGCATTGATAGAAACTAAATGAACGTCAAAAGTAAATTATATCAATTTTGTTAGTAATTTCTTCTTCAACGAAAGACAAATTATGAGATACACCAGGGCTAAAATTTTGTTTTATTTCTTTTGATAGCAGTACATAAGTTATAATGGACTTGAACCGAAACGATGCTTCCATTTTTAAAATTAATCTGCATATACATATATAACAAGGTATTGAACTGTTATTACGGGAATCATATTTTATGATTTAAATCCAAATACGTAGTATATTACAAATGTTAGTTAAATAAATTCATGACATAACTAAAAGCGTTAAAAGGAGTTCAAATTATGAAATGTTGTAACTGTTGTTAAACTGATAATTAAATTTTTTTCTAGTTTACTGCACCTATTTGGCCTGGTGTATACACGTTCACCGTGTGTTTAAGGTCGGACTCATATATAGGTTTCGACCAGCAGAAAGATATTAAATTAGATGTAAAACAGGCACCAGCTGAAATAACCGATCATCCGCAATGGGAATTTGAAGATTCCGAAAACGAAAAGTCCGCACAAGATGACGGAAACGAATCAGAATACACCACTGACGAGTTACCAGATGATGAAGATGACTGATTTATTAATGAAATTAAACAATTTATACTTTATAAATTATACATTTAAGTAAGGTTGATGGCATTTACTTTATATATTTTTTATTGAGACTTATAACTCACACAGACATCTTTTTTCACCTTTTAATTATCGAAATTATTTATTAATACTGCTTGAAGTAATTACTTTATATATAAAATTGAAACACACTAGTCTGGTTAAAAGCCCAAACAAGTAGCTGGTATAATTATCTTTAAATTATTTGTTTTATGTACTGATATCTAAAAAATTGGTCTTTATTATGTATAGTAGATCACAGTTTTGACTTAATAAAAATATTTTGTATTTTTTTTGTATACAAGTGGTTTAAAACTATTAAGTAATTCGTGAGGTTATCGGGGGTGCATAATTGTTTTTAGAAAACCAAGTAATAAATATTGTACTGATGGAATTACATATACGAAATATACGAATGTTATGCATAAATTTATTTTATGTATGTTTCTACTGAAAAATAAAACAAATACGTTTAATTTGCTTTTTCATTTAAAATGACTAAAATTGATCAAATGTGAACTTGTGAGTTGAGTGAACAGTGCATGTAGAATACTTTTTAGAGTGCATCTTTGCACAGTGTAATATAATTAATTTGTTACATTATATTGGGTGGTATGTATAAAACGTAGTATATGTACATGGTAATGCTTCAAGTGTATATTGCGTGGGTACTTACAGCACACAGTGGGGCCAAATTCACAAAGGCTGGCTACGCTCAAAAAAGAGATACTATGATGTACAACAGTAAATAGAAGTGTTTATTTCGCCTACTGCAAATTTCGTAGTATCTATCACACATTTCACAAATTGGGACTGCCAACTGGTATTTACTTCAGAGAAGCTGCTGTTTGGGAAATATTTAGGGGCTCCAATACTATTGGTATGACTTTTTGATGAATATGTGAGCTTGAAGTGTTAAAAAAAAAAAAGGACGAAATTATATATGCTATGGATGGTCGAACCTTTCTGGGGTAATACCATGGAAAAAAGGGGTTATGCTTTATCACCTACGAAACAAAGGGAAGTGTATTGTGATAAGCATTTGATGAGTTATAAATATGTATGTGATTACATTTTAATTATAATACAAAAATTGTTAATAGTAAACTCTGGATTTGAGCAGAAAATTGTAATGGAGATGAAATATATAAATACAGTCATGCGAGTAATTAGAAATTGGTATCTCCACAGTGTAGCATTTACCTTCTTTGAGTTGTAGCATTTACTTAGTTTGCAAAGTATTCACTTGGAAAATGTAAGTACCTAGAAGCAAATATTTTTTCTTGAAGTATTAGTCTCTACATTATTTTATGCGTACCATCCAATATGTATATAAACAACCCCTACCACGTGAAATCTAGAAAATAGTTTAGAGTTTAGATGATGTAGCAATCACTGTATATTTATACAACGAAATTAATATTAGAAAAATTTCCTATATTCCGGTAAAAGTATTAAATAATAATTAATTAATGTGAAAGGGTTGGATTTTAGTAACATTTTTAAATTATTGTTATTTTTACGTTATCAAGGTTTGAAAGTTTGAGACCCAACTGTATTTACAATTATTTAAATCTTAAATATCATAAAGCTGTTTTCAGTTCAGAAAGGAGTTTACAGTTTTTGATTAGCTTTTCAAAACTGCAAAAATTAATTACTAATCTACATAAAATTGGTTGAATATTCTAAACAGTTTATTAGCTGAAAATAAATCGGATGAATTAAAATGGTTTGTACACATCCGGATAAATTTTTAATTCTTTAGCCAATTCTTCGACGATTGTCCTAAACCATACGGGACTATGAAAAAAAGGCGTGTTCAGGTATTGAACATCTTTGCATTCTTTCATTTCATTTTTGCCTAAATCAGTATTGCCATTTACCAGCTTAATGCTGTTAGTTTTGTTTGTCAATTTCGTGTTTCTTAAAGTATTTTTGGTATTGTTCAATTCATTCTGATTTTCAATCACTGAACGCTTTGGTGCTGTCTCAAGAACTATGCCGCTTTTCTGCTTCTCCACTTTTTCCGACACTATGGCATTACCAGCAGCAGTTTTACCAGTTTTATTGGACTGCTTATTCTTAAAAGTGTATTTGTTTTTACTTTTTCTGCCCATTTGTACTTTAAGAACAAATTTGACGCTAAAGTGACAATAAAATTTACCGATTTTATCAAATTCAATGTCAATGACAAAAATTAAGAAACAATATCGTATTTACATTCACATATTTACATATTGCGATTGTTAAACTGTACATCCCGTATATAATAAAATTTTCAAAATTACAGTCCGGAAAAGTATAAACTGCGGGCTGTGGATGAGCACTGACAAAGTACGAAGATACTGAAACGGTGCAACGCTAACTAGTCGTAAGTGAGAATGAACATGAAAATACATATTTCATATATGTAAGAAAAAAAGGCTATTTTATTAAAATGATCTGATTGTAAGTAGTAAGAATAAATCCATTATATTTGGAAGTTACAAATCATAAATCCTTTAATTTTGTTTATTTTAATTTGTAATTTAAAAATTCTAAAATATGAGCGACAATACATAATATAAGGGGCTTTTCTCAAGATTATCTATGTAATAAATAATTATTATTATGATATAAAATATATATATTAAGTGAACTTTACATAAAAGTAGTGTAATACTTTTTAAAACAAGTGCCGTTAAAGAAACGCTACATTATGTAGTCTACGTACAATATACCATAGCACTGCAAATGTTCTTTTGATTAAATTTTTAGCTTGATTGGCTTACTGTTGAAATATAAAGCCTTTAATGAGCGTAGTAGATTCATATTATAATGTAGTATACAAATTAGATAATTCATCCTACCTTTTTTAAATCGCTTATTTACTTTCTCTTCTTTAATTCTTCAAATCTACGTGTTAAATCATCAAAATCGATGTCATCCCCTCCTGTTTTTGCGCCATCTAAAGAATTGTCACTTGGTACTGATGGCAATTCTGGTAAATCTGAGAAATTACCAGGAATTTTTGACCTTGGAGCTGGTTTAGGTTCTTGCTGTTTACTCTATAGAAATAAGTTGTAAAAAAGTGGAAAGATAATTAAGAATAAGAAATACACACCTGAATGTTATCATCTGGGGAAACCATGCTATAAGAAGGAGGGATATCATCCTAAGAAATATAAATATTGTTAAAAATTTATCTAAATTTTTAATTTTATCACATACATTGTAGGTGGTATTTGACTCTTTTGATTCTGCACCAGGTGGAATATTATAAGAAAAGGGTGTTCCAAAGGGTAAATTGTTAGGTGGAGCACTTGCACTAGCTGTCTTTTGGTCATGAGGCATTAAAGGCTATAAATATAATAAAAATTATAGTATGTAAAATATTACTTAAAACGTAAAACGTACTGGGTAAGAAAAAGGTGCCATAGGAGGTTGAGGGTAGCCTACAAATCCAGGTGGTTGGGGCATTCCTAAATTATTTTTGTCACTTAGATCTATCAACATTGCATCTCGACCTTAAAATGAATTGTTTTGAAATTGAAAGTTTTATAATACAGAAAATGAAAATTAAACCTTTTTCTTCTTGCATGACTTGTGGATCAGGTTCATATTCTATATTGTATATTTTTGCTATCTCTATTAAATATTTTTCTACCAATAATTTAGGTGGAGTTTGGATTGATAATTTATGTTTCAACTTTTCACTTATTGTTGCAACAGCTTCTGCACGGCATGCATCACCATAAGGTTTCCCATATTTAGCAGCCAATAAATCACTTATCACTTTTAATTCCTAGTTTTAAAATAAGGGAAATAAATTAAAAATTTAAAAAACATCAACACAATTTACTTACAGCAACATCACTTTGTAACCGTGGAGACACCCATATTAAACTAGAAACTGCTTCAGCAATTCCTTCATCTAGGGTGTTCATCTGTGTTATTAAGCCAAATCTGGCAAGAACAAGATCACAATACATTTCAACCACTTCCATTGCTTCAACCAGATAATCTTCTCTGGAATAATAATTTTTAATTAAGTTGGATATTTCAATTATATAAAAAACCGGTGCGACTATTCGCTAGACACAAGAACGGGGAATGATAAAAGCGCCAGCTTGCGTTTGAGTTTATATTGGTAAAACAAAAGGAAGCGCACGGCCACGACAATACTTATTTTGTTCATGTTGTCTTTTTTTAGTGCAACCTTATGATTCTGGGCAGTCAAAATGGTTTGGTTAGGTTAAACTATGATGGGAAAAGACAACATGAACGAAGTACGTTGTTGTAGTAGTGTGGTCCATAAACAATAACTTTTTTTTACTGTTGTTATCTGTCAAGCATTTTGAGTAAAACATCAGTCACCACTGTTGCACCAACTTTCTAGGGAATGAAGTGTTTTGATGGGCATTGCACTTCCTATTTGGATAGCAAAGCCAGTAGCATTAACGGATAAGAAACGTACAAATGAGTAACGTGAAACCCTATTGTAGTTGACGGAAAATACGGTAAATTGACGCTTTCACCGTTTCCCGTGCCCGTGCCCCATGTTTAGTGAATAGTCCCATCAATAAAAAAGGTCTGCAAATACCTTATAATGTGTTCTACTCTTATTTTAGCTCTTTCAATTTTACCAGCTTGTAAGTAGTCAGCTATTTCTTTTCTTGCTTTTTGTGTAAGCTCAGTTTTCTTTTTTTCTAGCAATTTTAATCTATTTATTGCTAAACGTAGATGCGTTTTCAACTTTGTGTAATTAGGAGAACTAGAAAACATTTTCGATTTTATCAGGAATAAGGCACAGTACAAATTATTAAGAAAAAAACTATAATAAAAGATGATTCACAACAACTTTTTAGTCATCACGAACAATTAACAAATAATGTATATATTTGTATAACGATACAGTCAAAATGCAGATGTCAAAACTTGTTTGGTTATGTTTATTTTCTAATAGCAGTGTTCAATTAGCTTATTTATCACTTTACAAAGCGATCACTTTTGAATATTTTTCAAAAGGTATAAACTAGATGTACATGTTTATTTGTATGAACGCTATCAAATTTATTTTATTCTTTAATAATTTTATGCTAATAAGAGAAAGCATAAACTTATGGGGCAATTTTATTGATGTGATAAAACAAAAGGTCACAAAACACGAAAGTAAATCAATGCTATTGAATAAAATTACATTAACAATTTTTAAAAAAAGCCTTAACATTAAATTGTTCAAAACATAATGTAATTATTCGTTTAGAAAAATTATATTTAATAACGATAATATATACATATAACTACCATAATTACCGCGTTATTTCTTAAGAAATAATTACTAAAATTAACTTATACTACTTCTGTACAATTACATTGTTTTTGGTATTTACATTTGAGATTAAACCATTACCAGAAGAATTTTGCTTGTAACAATCGTTTGCAAAAATTTTACTTTTAATTCATTACCAAGATCTTATTTAACGAAAAATTTGAAATACATACCAATAAAATTTACAGTGATAGGTCCAATATGCTTTAATTTATTAAATAACATGTAATGATCCTTATTAATATTTGTAGCAATTTGAAACTGTTTTTCGTTTCTAATGACTTTATTAAGAGCTTATCTTGGGTCAGTTAATAAAATGTTTACTCGTAGTTAAAATTTTGTATGGTGCTTTAAATTACCACTAAAAAAGTCTTGACACTTAAAGTTTAATTTATAATTGCATGTACACGATCATATTTATTCGAAATAATTACTTTTTGTATACAAATAATGTCTACAAATAAAACTATATATATTTGAAATAATTACTTTTTGTGTTGAAAAATTTCACAATTGCAATAAAATTAGTAAGGAAGGCGATAAGCAACGCAATAAAAAAAAAAAAGAAACGAAAAACGCATTCAAAGATAAATTGTATCTAAAATTGCACTTTTAGTACTTTAAGCAGCACACTTAGTGTGGAAAAGATAGTCCTAAAATGATTATCTTAAAAAACACAAACACAAATTACCCTAACATATTAGGCCAGCCTATGTTTTTCTAGGATGTTCAAACGCGCCTTACATACAAAAAATTTATGGAATCCCTTGTTGATGTTTCAAAAAATCATACAATTCACCTTACCAATATTTTAAAGCAGCATAAAAACTTATTGTTACATAAATAAATTGAATTACATTCATTTACATTTAACAAACAACTTGTGGATTTATATTGTCTTTGTAAGATTATTGGTTTTATACCATAATTTTTTTAAGAATTCTTCCAATAGAAGATAAAGGAGAAATTGTTATAAGAAATACTTACAAAATGGTTTAAACAATTAACAAAACCTTACATTTCATCCTCTAAACCTGGCACAGGCGGCTGATCGTCAACTTTCAAACGTTTGATTGACGGAATTACATTGGAAGGTTGAATGTTACTGGGGGGTAAAATATTTGGAGGAGGTACGCTCAGATTCGGCATTGGTGGAGGGGTTGTATACATAACAGGTCCACTTGCGTAAGGTGGAGGAGCTCGAGATGTTGTTTGATACCCAGGTTTCGTTGGAGTATATGGTTCTGGTGGTAGGCCCATCTTCGACATCTTTGGTATTGTGTCTTCCTTTTTTTCTCCAAGCATTTCCGCTGCCTTACGTATTAAATCCTCTTCAGATAATGAGCTGAGAACACCACTTGGTTTTTCCTTATCAATTTCTGATTTTAAAACTGGAGTTTTATCGAGAAGAGATGAACTTATTGTGGTGGGTTTTATTTTAGGCTTCGGTAAGTTCAATGGTATCGTTGACGACGAAGATATCAGGTCTTTTTTGGATGTAGCAATGGCCGTTATCGATGGAGCTGGAGGAGCCGATCTCGAACTTATTTTTGGTAAAAGTAAAGGCATAGTTAAGTCAGATTTGTTTGAGGATGTACCTTTAACTGAAGTAGCCTGTAAGTGGATAAATAATATCTATTACTGCGATATATTGAATAATGTACTGCAATGTAATGAAGGTAAATTATGAATTTTTAAATGAAATGGTAATTTGCTTCCATTATTTGTGAGGCAAAGAGAACATAATGCATACTAATTATTTGTTTTATAAAGTTTGTTAACGTTGTAGTATAATAAACGACAGTTTATTAACGTTATTACTTTTATTTAAAAAACCTTTCGCTTTCAGTCATTACATTATTGCAGAAAATGAGCATTGAAACAGATAATATTAATATTTAAAGGAAACATTAAATTAATTTTTAATGATTTATTTATTGCTAATAAATTGTAATTATTTTGTTTAACTATTATTTTCTAATAAAACATGAATTTTGAAAAAAAAAAAGAACTAACTTAACATACCGTATTATTATCTGTACTTGTACTGGAAGCACCTATGCCTTTGATGCTATCCAAAATTTGTTGCAAATTGCTGGGCAATGCGATATTAGCCAAAGAGGACGAACCAATATCAGCAGCAGCCGTCGATACGATGCTCTGTGACATGTTGTCAATTTCTGCTTTTTGCATAGCAATTTTCTGATCAAGTTCTGCCATCTTTTTTTGGAGCTCCTGACTGCTGGCTGGAAGAACAGAAGCCACAGAAGTTTCTTCGAGACCTGTAAATATATAATAAAATTTTGAGTAGTTGTAATGAGAATTATACGATGAAAACTTTTATGGTAATACAACACTTAATATTAAGTATATGTATTTGATGATGAATGTCAATGAAATTAATGCACTACAGTTTTAACTTTTACTTATTTTATAATAAACAATTGTTCAAAAGATGTTTTCGTTTTTATTAAAATACATACCTGGAATACTGTCGAATTTACTGCTGAAAGGTTCAAATGGCTGTACTGTGGGCGGGACTTCAACATACGGAGATGATTTTATTGCAGGTAAAAGAGTGCCAGTGTCAAGTGTAGGTGCACTAACCGACGCCGGTGGAGATATAACAGTGTCAGGGTCAGAATCCTCTGGACTATATGGTTCATCTAAAACATTGAACACTTAGAATATATTCATTGGCTTATTCTATTATTTTTTAAGTTTATTACACACATTTTTAAAAAATAATTTACTTACAAAACTATCGGAACTATAGTCAATAAATTTGCAAAATTTAAGGTAATACTTTGATGTCAATTAGTTCATCTTAGTGTCACTGTTATATTTTAAACGGTTCCAAGCATAAGATTAGAGTGCACATTTAATTTGCTCTAGTAGGATAATACATTACCAAAACAAGGATAAAATATTAGTATTGATATTAAAGTAGAAAAAATAACTTTTTAAAAATAAATCAAAGCTTACAAAAAGTAATTGTCGCTTGGTGCACTTTATAGATTAACAAAAGATAAGCGCGTGCTACATATTTTTTACTTTTGACTGCCTTTCTGTTTAGTTTTATTTACATATTTTGTTTCCTTTAGGAAATATAATTACGAATAGTGCTTCTGTAGATATTTTATATTAACTTATTTTTTCTGTGAGAATAACTAAATTTAAGCATTAATTCAATTACATAATTAAAAACCACGTAGCGGACGACTGTTGGATTTTATATACAATTAAAAAACCTTATGTATAAATACTTAATTTAAATAGCTGATATTTTCATATAAATAGAAACAGCCACGTGATTTAAGTTTCTATACAAGATCCATTTATGTTGATATCTGTTTCTTGAGCCAAACTATTTCAATATTCATTTAATATAAATAAATCAAATTGTATTGTGTTTACCCATGTCATCGGTAGTATCTTTAGGTGTTTCCGGCGATGGTACAGATGCTGTTTGAGGGGCTGTTTTAATCCTGGGGTCCCGAATAAGAGGAGGAGGAGGTGTATAAGAACGAGCTGTAGCGGTAACAGGGGTAGTTGAAACGGGAGGAGTTATTATGACAGACACCTCTATTTTGGTCCGTTTAGATACAGAAGGTAATTGATCAAATATTGGACGTTTTCTTTTGTCACGAACTATTATTCCTAATAACAGGGCAGGTCTTGACTCTTCAAAACCTAAAAGAATATATTATTTTAGTAAAAGTACAATAGAATGTCATAAACGTATAAAATAAAAAGTAGCGATTTTAAAACAATTTCCATGAACCGCTCATTTCAATATGAGCGCCATAAACTTCTCTTTCTGATATAAAATAATTGCATTCTTTTAAAAATTAAATCAATTGAAATTTCTAAATTACTACAGTTTTTTCTATTATTCTCATTATATGTTCATATATTTTACAGACCACAAATTCACGGGTTATTAAAGTATAGGGTTATACCTGGGCCGTTAATCGGTAATAGTGCCTGTGGAATAGGTTTCTGACTTGCCAATGGTAATATGTAAAAATCCTTGACAGCTTTGTTCAAGCTTTTAATTACACCCAACCGGTTTCTACTTGATAAATAACTGTACAAAGCAATATATGGCATTTTTTCTTCCATATTAGTTGCGTTTAGACGAATAAGCGAAATTGCTTTACTGTTTGAACATTTCATCTTTCCAATATACTCCCATACTGTCTCAGGGGATATTCGACCAACAACGTCCAATGCAGGTGGTAGCTCTTCACCCAAGCCAGCACAATCGCCTTAATGAAAATAAATAATAAATAAATATTTAGAAATGACAGAGTAACCTATAGATAAATGTAGAGGTAAAGTAAGAAAATTATTACTTTAGATATATTATAAAATAGGTACATAATATATGAGCTTTTTTTTTCCTATGGGCAATCGATTTGCTGTATAAGTATTTAAAGTTGGCCCCTTCTTAAAAATTTTTGTGTTGATATGACTTTACAGGACCATTGTTAAATAAGTGATTGCTACATTATCATCTAGAATATAGATTAAATGTAAAGTAAAATCGTAAGAAACTGAATTCTCAAAAAAAATTAATCACAGCATTTTAACGGAAAAAAGCCTATATTTATAATCCAACAAAATCTACTTTTTTCCCTAAAGAATTAATGAGTCAAATTTATAAATTCAAGAAGGACCAATTTATTGGGGTTGGAGAGTTAGAATGCGATGTCGAGTTAGTAAGACGTGTTTTTTGGGCTCTCATCAAATTAGTAATTTAATGTGATATTTTGGACTAAACTAAGTCCCAGCTTGATAAAAATGATTCCTAAATGTTGTGTGATTTTAAGTTGATAAAGCATAAAAAATATCAAGAGGAAGTAAAGTCAAGGAAAATATACAGACAGTTTATTAAAACTACGTCAGTTTCGAGATAGACACACTCAATCAATACATAATAGTCTTTTAAATGCCTTTTCTGAATAAACAATCACCATACCTGTGTCCTTTAACTTTAATAAGTTATTAATAATTTACTAAAATTTTAATAAAAATAGTATTATATGTATATAACGTACACACGCATGTGATATTGCAATAAGCTTTCTGTTTTCACTATATAAAACCATTTTAAGGCCTAATATGTACTTTTAAAAACGGGTTGCTTACAGGAGTCATGCTATCGCTTCTTTTATTTACCTGAATTTTGTATCAATTTTGAAACAATCCCATTTACCCATAATATGCATGGTCGATATAACAGCAGAGCGTTACTAAAATTTTTACTCTCGAAGCAAAATATTGGTGATTTTTGAAAAGAAAAAACAAAGATAGTTTAGGCAAATTACCTGAAAGTTAATAAAAAAAAATGAAAATGAATGCAAACATTTATGATGTTTCGAGATGTGTCTGCCGAACATTATCCAAACCAATCGAATAGTTCCGAAAATTTCCGAATTCATTTTGTATAAAGAACTGTCATATATGTATAACAGTTATGATGTATAATATGATAATATATCCGGTTCCTTTTTCTTTAAAAAAGTCGAAACAAAAGAAGATTAAACGATAGCATATATACGTACATTCCCTTCTTAGCGTGGGAATAATGTATCAGAAATTTAAACTCTTCGGTAGAAAAAAGAAATATACGGTAGATCCATTGCGTGGTGTGTTTTCTGCCTTACGACGGCTTATATGACAATGTGGTGGGAGCACTTACTAAGTGACGCAATGCGGCAATGTGGGCGAAACGGGTAGAGTGATAAATCCTATCTTCTTACTCATTGTATCATGAGTATGCAGGCTTTCATTAATAAACAGAGATAGATAGATCATATTACTTGACCCCTGAGTTTATTTTGTGAACAGTTAACGGAATCGTTCCTTCTTGAATTTAAAGTGACTGAGGGATTAAAATATTCCGAATTTAAAGTTTATAAAAATTTAAACTTTGTGTTATTATAATTTGAAAATTTTTATTTATATATTTTCAAATGCTTTGTTAATGTGCTTACCTGATACTTCGTGAGCCGTTATAGAAATCTGGGCCACGTCCACCATGTTTATTGTCCCCTTCCAAAGGTATTCGGCGGTAGTCTTTGGAGGCGGTGACATGCTTCTATCTTCATTACTTGAAGGCGGTGATGGGGTTTTCGCCGCTACTACTGTCTTTTTTTCTGGTTTTTCTACAACAAAAAATCATAATTACACTGTGAAATATTTACTGAAAACAAATGTTTCACCTGTTATTGTCTTTTCGGTGTAAACGGGTGGTACAGATGGAGATTCTTCGACGTCAGTAGTACGCGGAGGGGTAGGAATGGTCACAGTTGATGATGGTTCATGGTCACTGTCACTTTCAGCAATAGCTATCAAGAATAATTATATTTTAGAAATGCTGTCTCAAAAAATTACTACTACAATAAACTGCCGTTTTTGTAAAAAATGGTACTAGTCACTAAATGGTTTATAAAAGTTAAATTTAATATACATATTTAAAATAAGAATATAAAAAATAATTTATAAGCTTACCGGGAGTTGTAATATCTTCTTGAGGTACGTGTTTCCACAATCTGTCTTCAAGTGGTGGCACAATTTGTTTATCAACAAGCTGCTCCAAAATTTCCTTGGATTTCTTGTCCAATTTTTCGGTTGTGCTGGGTTCTTTTTTGTGGCGTGAACTCTTGTGGGACGACCGGTGGTGTCGTTCGCTTAAATATACAAAAAGATGTTATGAGATGAAAATAGTAAGTTTTATTAAACAAGTGTATTTAAGAAATATATTTAGTTTTCGAACATTTGAGTTTTTCCATTCAAATAAGAAATTAAAATATTTGTATATAATAAAATCTGAAATACATTTAATCTGCTTATAAGAGGACTATAGAGATACTTTTACTTGTTGATATTCATAAATGAGTCTTTGGTGAAACTTTCCAGTAGTGTTTGTTTGGTTTTTATTTCATTAAGTACAATTAAAAATAGTCGTACACCCACGAAGTGTTAATTTTATTTATAATTTATCTATACTTAATAAAATCTACATCTCTACACCTTGTGTTTATGTTTATTTACAAGTCTGTAACTCTGAACAGATTCTAAACATTTTCCGATTATTAAAAAGTTACATAATCCCTGAGTACTTTCAAATAATCTAATAATCCTGCTAAATCATGACTCCAATAACCTACTGTAGATACTGGAAAGGTGGTGATCAAAGAAGTGGACATTTGCAGAGGATGTGAGTCCTACTATTACCGAAGTTGTTTTAATTCTAAACGTTCCACGTCAATGGAAGGTGTCTATAAATGTTGCACAAAAATAAATCTCACACTATTTACTTGTTGATATTCAATCACCTTCTTAGGACTTCAATTACCACCTCCTTTTTGTAGTTCAAATACCCGATAAGTTTATCCCTGTTCTCGTTTTATGTGGACTACATTTTTAACTGAGTTTTCACATTAATTACAGCATGTTTGTAAAGAGAACTGAAATACCCTCATATATTATTACTATTACATATATTTATTAAATATACAAGTTCTTCCCCCCTATCAGTCACTGTGAGCTTGAAACTGGTAGCACCATTACTTCGAGTGGTCGAAAGTTAATTTTGTGAATAATTTGTTTAATCACTTTCTGTGTTAAAAATTGTTTGAAAAAATAAATTTAAAGGAATTGTTTGTAAATAGGTATGCAACACTTCGTACACTTCAACATAAGAAATTGCTGATACTAACTTTCATTTACGTAATACTGCTTTGCCCTGTGCTGACAGCACTTTTAATTTTCTTTATATATGATATTCTAATAGTTCTAATGACTCAGCTTTAATTGTAACACATTTTATGGAGATCCCATTGTACTGTGTATTAATATCAATTTAATGCCACAAAAGGGCAGAGTAATTAGTGATTATATAAAATAGTGATTTCAATACATTCTGATGTTCTTACTTTTACTACCACAAATTTAATTGTAATACTTACTGGTCTCTGTTGCTCTTTTTCTTTTCAATATATCTAGAAGTACGATCCCTACTTCTTGACCTGGATCGTGATTTAGATCTTCTTTTGTAATCTTTTAACGACTTTTCTTCCTTTTTTCTTTCCCTGCTGCAAAATTTAAATTTGAAAAATTTTTCTATTTCAATTTAAATACCCTTTAATTTATGGGTACTAATATTTAAAATTTTCAAAAATTAAGGGAGTTGCTTTACAACCATTATGAATAAATTCAAAGCAACAAACATACCTGTCACTCTTTTCTTGTGACCTGTTTCTTCTTTCTCGGTCCCTTTCCCTACCTTTTTCATATTTCACATATTTAGAACCTTTTTTATCTTTATCTTTACTAGCTTTTGAATCTGGACTGTCCGAGGTGGCAACATTATCTGAGTTAAGAGTAGCAATAACTTCAGTACTGTCTATACCACCTTTTGGACGATTATCTTCTAATATTTGTTCACCTTGAAGATAAAAATATTTAATTATTTATAATAAATGAGGTTTATTTAAATAAGCCAAATTTTAAATGAANATAGTGAGTTGAAGGTTAATGTAAAATACCAATTATTATTTGACAAAAAATAAATAAAAATACTTATTTTAAAACTTACTTTCTTCTAGCATATCTTCAGTGTTATTAGGATCATAAATAAGAGGCTCCATTGTTGCCTCAATATTGTTTCCATAAGCCTCATTAATACAAATTAAGTTTATTTCAGTTTCTTGTTTTCGTCCACCTAGAATTTTTTACATTCAAAAGATGGTAACTGTCATATAATTACTACCTACTTACTCAAATATTTTTCTAATGTTTCTCGATCTGGCATTATAACTCCGTCTTTTCCTTTAAGAACAAATAAACCCTCATTTGTTGGCAATTCAGTAACCTTAACAACACTGTTTGACATGCTGTAACTGAAACAAAACCTTTGATTACTATTATTTATTAGGTGGTTATATCAACTTTAATATAGAAATGATTGGATGATTTAAAAAGATTTATTCAAAGGTAAAATTTAATTTTTAGCGTTTTGAGGTGAATTGAGGTTATTTATCTTTTCGTTAATATAACCACACGTTCAGTAAACTGTACGGTACATAAGGCAAAAACACTACTAAATTTGTGCTAGTTATTTATTTATTTACAAATATTTATATATCTATACCTAAATTAGAAATAATGTATTAACAGAAAATATGGATAGCCTCAAGATATCTTCAATTGTTAATTATTTTAAATTTATCGGTACTATTTAATACTTTTTTATCTAGATATTTTATAGTCAAGTTGATGTAAAATTAAATATAGAAACTTACAATATTGTTTTAATAACAAATGCCAATTATTTTTAATTACACAGAATGATAAATAAATTCATACCTCATCTGGTTCTAATTTGATATCATTTACCATTTTAAGTCTGTTTGTGAGTTGTTCAAACAAAGTCTTTTTAACGTTTTCCCGGATATTTTCCGATTGTTTGGGGGGTGGTGCAAGAGATGTTTGATCATCGGGTAGTTTCGGTTTAAGAGTTTTCTGAATTTTTGGCCTTTCTTTTACTATAGGTGTGGAGGTCGATGTACTTGGGATACTATTATTAATAGACTGTTTTGGAGTTACATTCGTTTGAACTTTTTGAATGATCTGAGGAGGCCTTCCTCTTGTAGGCGTCGTGATTACTGTCATTGGTGGAGGTTGAATTAATTTTGTTCTCGATTCGACCAATGGTTTTTGCTTGCGAACTATTTTAAAATGTGGAATAGTCTACAAGAAAAAAAAATCGGATTATTTTAAAAATCAACATATAATTTAATATGTATTTGTTTCTAAAAATATCGAAGTCAGAAAAACCTGAAATGAAGAATATTTTCAATATACATATGGAAACCACTAAAATTAACAAAAAATTGTTTTTACTTAAAACTGAAAACTCACTTTTACCACATTTCTATTTCGTTGACTAATTGTGAACTGTTGCTGGTTTTGTTGAGCTTTTGGAGAATGATTGAGGAGACCAATATTAACTCCTCTTCTTTGAATGGCAAGAGATACTCCTTCGTTTGAGACATTTCTAACTAACTTTAACTTTGACTGAGACAGATTCTGTAGAAAGTTAAGAAAACAATTAAAACAACCGTATTTGAGGGAAACAAAATGTAAAATTGTCTAAATTAATAAAAAAATTTACAATATTTAATCACAAGAATTAATTATTAAATGTAGGTTGCTTAAAAATTACCAAAGGAAGAAATATTTTAATTGTAACTTACTTATTTATTGTGTGACAATTTGTCCAACTTACTTTATTTGGCATAGGTTTGCTAGTAGATCTAACAACTTCAAAACCTGGATGTTCTTTGAGCCATTTTTCGAGATTTGCCGCACTGGGTGCATTGCTTCCCGAGAGGATTTTTCCCGTTGACCTTTCAAAAACAACCACCTGTGAAAAATTATAAACATAACAGTGAAAATTATACAAGTGTATGCATTAAGGCTAGCTTTAAAAATCATTACCCTTTCTACAGTTTGCGCTTGTTTCAAAATGCATTGGTCACTACAAAAGATAGAGTTACTTCGAGATGGTTTTCCACATACAATACAATCAGATGAAGATGAAGATTTTCCCGATGATTCTGTTAAAGAAGACGTTGATTTGTTTTGACTTTTGCCACTGTCAGTAGACGCTTTTGATGCTTTTCTTATTCTTCGTGCAGCCGCTGCTGGTCGCTTTAAAGTAGGATCCTATTACAAAAATTATTACGATTTAATATGGACACGATCAACTAAATTTGAATAAAAGAAACCTCACATTGTGTATGCTTAAGTTGGCAGCATATGGGAAACTTTTTTATTATTAATCTTACGAAAAAAAGTGACCTAAAAACCTTGCATGGTCTAAAACACACAATGACATCATCAGAGTTAATAATTTGTCAGTCNCGAAAAAATATTCGATATCTAGTGTTTCTATGTTGGAGATCGCGAATGATTAAGCATGCATTTGTTTCTGTCACTACCGATGAATTTTTCATGTTTCAGACAAAGCGTTGCCAGCGAACAAAGTGTGCGGCGTTTTTGACATACCTCCGGAAGTGCAAAAGATCAATACTGGTACCACGCGGGATCCTTCCTCTTCTTCTTCCATTTGAAGCGTTTTCTTTCAGCTGTCGGTGATGTGTGCATTAACCTCCGTCTTACACGTCGAACATTTACATGATACGTTTGAGGTTGTACAGCTCAATAACAAGAAATACATAAAATATTCAACTAAGTAGTTCTTGTGTTTTATTTACAAGCCACACCATAAAACCATTTACGAAAAGTTATTTATTAAGACGTCTAAATGGTAAATTAAATTCTAAATAGTCTTTTACAAAAACATGCATTTTTTATTTATCCGATTTTCTGTGTTGTATTACCTTCAATGTAAATGTAAAGAATGCAATGATTGGGAAAATCCATGTAGAAACCGACACAAATCAAAAATTCACGTCGCCCCTTTAGATTAAATTAATTACGATATACATTGTATGGGTAGCATATGGGAAACTTTTTTATTATTAATCTTACGAAAAAAAGTGACCTAAAAACCTTGCATGGTCTAAAACACACAATGACATCATCAGAGTTAATAATTTGTCAGTCATATACAAGTTTTGGTACAAAATATAAAATTTGTATAACAGTACGGTACTTTTATTTTTGAAAGTAGCAGAAATCTTTATAAAGACAAGTTGTTGAGAATTAAAAAGTAGTTATAAATATGCAGCCACATCTATTGATCTGTCTGATGATGTTATAATGTGTTTTAGACCAGGTCTTTTTATAAAGAGTAACTTTTTTACATAAGATTAATGATAAAAAATACAACGTGTAATTATACAACACGCTACCGAAGTGAAACTTCTTCAAACACACAAACATACCGGGATAGGGGTTAAGGAATTGGTTTAAAGGTGTTATTTGTACAATATGAATTGAAATTTTACACTATACATGCAGGAGTTGCCTGTAACGAAACTTGCATTGAAGCACGCTCATGGCTCAAGCGATTCCCATTACGAACTCGACTACGTGACCAAGTAGAGGGGGGACATCCGTTGCATGGTTTCGTTACATAGCAACTCGCATGAAACGAACTTACCCTACCGTGTGTAAAGAAGTTTCACTTCAGAAACGTTTCCCATATGCTGCCAACTTAAGTGTATGGTAAAAAAGGGAAATAACTAACTATTACGCTTTCAGTAAATAATACAATAACTCTTAAATTGCTACATTTTTAACTTAAATGTAGTAATAAAAAGTGATGACATAATGCATTCACTTTATTTTTACTTACCTTACAGTAAACACAAATCCATTCTCTGCCTTCTTGCTCCATAAGTTGTCCCATGGCTTTTGTAACATTGACACATTTTCCATGATACCATTCTTCACACTGGTCACAACATATCATGAAACGATTATTATGCGGCTGATTGCAAATGCACCATAATTTATCAGGATCATCATCGGATCTATCGTCTTCTTCTTCCTCCTCCTCCTCTTCCTGCTCTGCTTCGGCATCTGAACTGTCCAACTCGTTTCCTGATACGTGTTCTTCATCTAATGGCTTGTGAACAACTCTAAAAAAGTTAACAATTATATAATCATAAATGCATAGTTACCTATTAGCGAAAAAAGTTAAAAAAAAAAGGAGAAATCATACTTTGGCGTTGCTTTTGAAACCTCAGGACTTTGTTGTTGTTTTCGATTTCTACTTCTGGTTGCTGGTCTTTCGATTGGTGGAATAATAACAACTCTTCCATCAGGTCTCACGATCTGAGTACCTTTCGAAGTGTTTGGTACTATTGACGCTTTAGGTGTATTTATCTGTAATATTTAAACATTAGCAATTAATTAACATTTACCTTTTCAAATAAGAATAATCATTTCAGTTCTAAAGATTGTATAAATAAGAATTAACTTTATAGCTTTGTTTACAGATATAAATAACTACATAGTTATATATACTTTTTTAATATTAAGAAATATTATTGATAGTGGCCGGTATCCGAAAAATATCAATTTCATTTTTTACTGTTGCATAAACCAGATTAAATTAAAAATTTTATTAGATAGTTGCAAATAAAAAGCATTCTTATAACTTAATAGTGATTGACATTCGAATATTTAAAAATGGCGCCAAAAATACTAAAAAAAATATGGAGGGTAACAATGACAATGAAATAAAAAACACGTTTTTTCATATTGTACCGTAAATTTTGAGGTTAGTAAGCCAAAATTTTCAGAAGTTTTTATTTTAACTATTAATTGTATGGGTATTAAAAAATCGCTGGGGGTAGTCTTTATATGTTTATACAGCTATACTTTTTAATAACTTGACACCTTAAAACTCGAACTTGTGGTTTCAATTATCGAAGCTTGACTGTAC